ATAATAATAAAACCAGCTGTGTATTTTTAGAATGGCAACAACCCTACGGGCAACACTGTAGAGATTTGGATGTGATCACATATCGGTGGAAGTTCAAACCCGAGGTCATGCCAAATACAAAGGAAATAATTTTTTCTGTCGTGCTCTCTGCTGTTCTCGTCTTTAACATAGCAGGAAACTCCCTCGTTATCTACATCATCAGGAATGGACGAGGAATGAAAACCTCCACAAACTATCTGCTGTTAAACTTGGCTGTAGCAGATCTATTATTTGGTGTTTTTCTTGCTCCTGAGAATATAGTTCTGCCTTTGTTGGRTASACCATCCTTGCCTGATGGAGCTCTTGGTGACTGGCTGTGTAAACTAATTGGATTTGGTAACATCGGTTGGATGGCGTCTAGAGCTTCTATTTTCACCATGGTTTGTTTATCAGTTGAACGATACTTTGCTGTTTGTCGTCCTCATACCTTCCGTCAGCGTTTCTCGCCAAAGATCGTCAAAGTGCTCATTGTGGTGTCCTGGATATATGCTGTTGTTATGCTATCTCCCTTACTTGTTGATGTTCATTTTAGCAGAGAATATTTTCGCTGCTTCCTTAACGATTCGATTTTTAAAGCTTATATGTGGTATTCTTTGGTAGAAATGACTTGTGTTTTCACTCTGATGATATTTTTTACTGTGAAAATATTCATTTCCCTCTGKTGCAAKCAGACAGTCGAACCTACAGGAGAACGAGAGATCACCGAGAGAAAGAAGAAAAAGAAAGTCACAYTGTGTGTTCTTGCTGTAGTTGTCACATTTGTTGTGTGCTGGAGCCCTGCTGCAATAAACTTTATTGTAGCACTTGGACCATCAACAGCAATACAAGTGGAATTAACTACAGCAACGGTACTGACGGCGTTTATCAATGCTGCTTTTGACCCGTATCTGTTTAGCTTCCAAAGTTCAAGATTTAAGGTTTTGGTCAAAAAGGTTCTTTGCTGTGGAAAAGAGTCTTCCGTGTAAATGTGAGTGGAAACGTAATTGTCATTTGAAGGTCAACAGGCGGAGATATTACGCTGATCATGAACGGATTGTACTGAACACTAGTATGCTTGAAAGATTGACGAATCGACCGTGAAGGGATCTTCTGGTCCAAAGAGAGATGCCTCTGTGTCCATTAGTCCACGAGGGTCACTTTTGAAAGATTCTCTGACTCATCGCCGGTAATTAAGTGAATGTGAAAAAAAGGAATTATTTCATCGTTTTCCCCACGTTTTAAAAGTCCTGTTATTTCACGGGATCTAGCTGGAGATATGAATGAACTTGCGTTTAGAGACCCGTCTTGTTTCAAGGCCGGTGAAAGGAATGACATGCCTGGTTTTACCCAAGCTCGGCTTTCTAATAATTATTGTTTCTAAATACGCACAAATAACATGTGGTCATGAATAAATGAGTTTGGGTAAGAGGGAATTAAGATTGGGTGCTAAGGTTGGGAGCTTTGTATTGGAAGTTGGAATTTGTATTAGTAAGGATTAGTAATTGAGAGTGCGAGGACAGGGGTGACTCTCCATACCTTAATTAATGCTAATGAGTAAGCAGGTGGGATAATGTACCTTTCACAGTTCCCGGCGCCATCTTGAAAGGTAGCCGCGCCTTTGCACCGAAGCGAGACGAACGGTGAGCTTGCAACGACAGAGACCTTTTTTAACGCCTTGGACAATTATTCACATATCTCTATCATTGCAAGCTCACCGTTCGTCTCGCTTCGGTGCAAAGGCAAGGCTACCTTTCAAGATGGCGCCGGGAACTGTGAAGGGGACTATTGTAGCGATTCGGGGTTCGGCAAGGCGAAGGTACTCAGGAAGCTTTATTGATTGACCGTGTTTATAACTCCGGACACTTAACTAACTCTTAAAGAATATCAGACCTATATTTATCATGACCAGTACTAAGGTGATTAGATGTTTCATTACGGAATTATTTACGTAGATCTTACGTGAGGTCTGCATGCACCCAATATTTGCAATCATTGCTTGAGAAATCGTTATTGTTCAGTTAGTGCTCTTTGATGAGGTCCATCATTTCTTCAAGAACACTAACGATGTTTTCGCTAATATAAGCGCTAGATGGAGAACTGTAGGAATGAGCCTTTTTGGCCATTTGTTTAAGCATTGCTCGGCATTCATCACATTTTATTCTTTCACAAGTTTTATCAACACCAAACCTACCACGCACATAGTTTGCGGAAAATATTTTGTGTTTTGGACATTTGCTTGGAACACCACTCATTTTAACTGAATTGTTTTCGTGGCTCCATAAATACATCATCCCATCCAATGCACCTACAAACTCAGGGAAAATCTTGCTTATGCATTGTTGAAGTCGCTTGACCATTGGTAGGAGTAACGCTTGAATACTTGGTCCGTCCAATTCAGAAAAACCTTCCAGACTTTCCAAATCAGTCAATGCCATTTTATTCAGTATGTCATAACATTGCTGGCGTGCCTCCGCTGCCTCCAAGTCCTGTGCTAACAGCAACATGTCCATGGCATTTTCTTTTGTCTTTCTTGTTGATAACAAGAACAGTCTGCAGTCCTTCATCACTTTTGTCATCTGGTATTCATCAGCTAGACTGTAAATGTACTTGATGCTCTTCACTTTCGAGAAAGAAAAAAATTCGCTGTCAAAATATCTCGCAGCAACAAAAGATGTTCATTAAAGTTGCATGAGCGGACACACCCTGAAGTTTTTCCTTGCAAAAATCTCTCGACTTGCATCACTAGCAAGAGGAAAATATTACAAAGTATATCGGTAGAGTTTACCTCCATTTTTGAGTCATAATACGTGTTGAATTAAAAGGGTTTCGACTACCTTATTAATATAATATAAATTTTTTATCCTGGTTAGATTGCTACAGGTGACAATCAGAAACAATGATGATCAGATAACGTTCATGGTAAAACACAACTTACGTGTTATTTCGCCATCATGTAGAGGATAAAGTTGTCGCAGCAAGTCGACAAACTCGTTAATCTTCTTCCCTGGCAAGATAATTTCATTAGTATCTTTTTCTTTGAAGTTGGATGAAAGCATGGCCTTAAACACTGGTGACGCCATTATGAGGATGGTGCGGTGAACGTGGAGTTTTTGGTCCTCGACAACAAGAATGAGATCACTGTCGTCCCAGGGACTTGAAAATTTTTAATTTTTTCCACATCGAGGCCAACAGTTTCATTCATTTCTAGCGATGGAATTATTAACAATATTATTAACCTTATTAATGAAATATTAAATAAAAATTATAACATTAGGGTTGGTGCAGGCTGACTTGATTGAGTAGTGYGCGCTACTCAAGAAGCCAGATTCTTACGCTTCCTTCGTGCTTAACAGCTAGATCCCGCTAGATATCGCGTCGATCTGAAGTCAATTCTCAGCGCTTTGACTTTCATCGAGACAGCTGGAATGCTATTCTAAAAGTTCTATCATTGCTTTGATGGACTTAAAATTACATAAATTCTATTTCATAAAGCTTTTCATGTGTATATTTATATGACATGATATCGTGTGGGCGAAATTGATTTGATGGCCGATATGTTGTGGGCTAAACCGTGTGGGCTAACTGACTTGTGCGCGAAACATCCGGTTACCGCATTGTAGCTGTATTGTCTCATCTTGGGAATAAGCATTCTTCAAATTTCATATATCAATATTCCGCGCCAAAATATTCTCCAGCAACTGCAGTTTCTACTATAAAGGACGACAAAATGACTTGAGTATGGATATTTTTCATGAATTCATGGTAAATACGTAACAAAGTCGAAACAAATACATGAGTCTGAAGTCATACTTGAGTCAATTTGGCGCTGTTTTTATCACTCTATTGTCATAAATATTTTCAAGATTGGATATTACTTACTTGGAGGTTATCGTTAATCTCTTTCGCTCTTTATAGTCGATATGATGCAGTTAGTTCAGTTGTTATATCTAATCTTCCATACACACAGGAAT